CAGCGGGGCCAGACTGGCGGTCCCACAGCAGGAGGGAAGGGCCATGGGGAGGGGCGGCGGGGAAGAAACGTGCCAGACAATGGCACGTGATGCAGGGGACCTTGGCCCCGGGCAGTGGCCCTGGGTGCCCGTGCAAAGCACCAAAGGAGCCACTTACGTGCTGGGTGGAAGCAGGGCGTTGCTGCTGCACCGCGCTAGCGCTGGGTGTCTGCGAGGGTGTCCCGGAGAGGGGGGGGAATGGCGGGGCCGTTTGTAGCCAGATCCCAACGGGTTTTCCAGGACATTTGCCTCCTTTATCGGGACACCGGGACAGAACCCTTAAATCCGGGACTGTCCCGGGAAAAAAGGGGCACATGGTCACAGTAGGTTTAGGACAGGGGGGCTACTTACTTGGTGGGCTGGCAGGCAAGATGGCGGAGCCCCAGCCCTGCTGGCCACACCTTTGGTGGTGCGGCTGCCCCAGTGGCCACTCTGCAGGAAAGCTCTCCCCTCCGTTTTCCTTGCTCCCAGTGGCCCCTCTTGAATCACATCCCTCCCCTCCCTTTCCATGCTATGGAAGAAAGACCCATCCCCGGCACTTCTTGAGCTCCTGGCCCAACCAAACCCTGGCCTGGCTTTACATTAGGAGAAGAGGAAGCTGCCTGCCGAGTTCGGTGATCCTAGCTCTTCCCATTTTGGAGGCGTTCTTGAACAAACAGACTTGCAGACAGACAGACCCACTCAGACAGAGACAGGGATATAGTACAAGCGCCTTATTTCAGAACATCATGGCCAGACACCAACGGCGATGTCCTAAGTCTATTCCCTATTTAACTTCAGCTTTCCCAAGGGAATCCCTTTCTATTCTTGTTGTCAAAAACAGAAGTGCCAGTGAGTTCAATGGGCCTTATCCAAAATTAAGTGCACTCTAAGTACAGTCACTCTTCGCTTTTTTGATAATTTGATTTAAATCAATGATTTTTGGGGATGATTTAAATAGTCTTGATTTAAGTCAATTCACCCTGATTTTAGGCCACAATATTTGAGCCAAGCTCTCAGTAGACTTCTA